CACTTTTATGCGCAGTAAAATTTTTTCGATGGTCGCAATCAAGGATATAATAAATATAAAATCATACAATAATATGTGTACAATACATTATACTTCATTTCGTAAAAAAAGGAAAAAAAAAGAATGTAAATTACATCAGAAAGATCGTCTGTTTCCATTTTGACTATAGGGCTTTTTTTCTCTTTTTTTTCTCTTTCTTGTATTTTGTTACTCGGTTGCCGTGCAGTTTTGATGATCTTCACCATTCTCTTTGGTTTGTTCGTTCTTTTAATTTTTTGCAACACTTTCTTCACTCCGTCAGTCAGTCTTATTTGTTCCTTCACATCCAAAGAATAACAAATTGAAATATGATTTTGTGACTGACTAATTGAAATTGTATATTTGTATAGAAACGTGAGAAAAAAAATAAAAGAATCGTTGTAAAGGTTAATTTAAAGATTGAAATCAGCTTATTTATCAACATACAATGACAACACCGTCAAAATCATTTGGTGCGTTAATTTGTTTTTTCTTTCTTTTTTGAACATGCGAAGTTTTTCATTTAATTATTAATACTATATTATTGCTTTATTAAAAATGATTTTAACAATCAATTAGGTGAAAGACGTGGTTCAATGTCGTTGGCTAGTAGTGAATCTTCGCTATTGACAGTACCTGGATCAACTCGTACACGTCGAATGTCAACTACAAAAGTAATTGATCAACGTCCAAAACATTTAATGTTAGGTGATTTCGAATTGGCTAATGTTGTGTAAGTAAAACAGAATTGTTCGAAGAGAACATATACAAACGAGATATGAATTATCTTATTATAGGGATTGTGAGGAATACGTACTATGTTGTAAATACAGTCCTATTGGAGATGTGTTTGCTGTTGGCTTAGGGAATGGTACAATTAAAGTAAGTTTCAAGAATGTTGAATATTGATCTATGATAAAGTTTTCTCGTTCTTTATCACATGTTACTATCGGGATTAAACAAGCTCGAATCAGTTTAATTCCTTTTCATATATAAGAAACGAGTAATTCGTTGTATGTCATTTGAAATACGAATATGCAATGAAAGTAAAGCCATTGAAATTCTTATTTTTCAATACTATAGTATTAATTTTGAAAACTATTCATTGATTTCGATCAAATTTCATATATGAACAATCAATAAACGAAAACAAAACCATAGATCTATTAACCTTCAAAGTGATGACGGTTTTTTTGTGTCAGGAACTTATAAATAATGCTTATATTAAAAAGCATATCTCAGTGTTCAGAACAAAGAATTCTACTAATTTCGAAGCAAACTATTAAGCAATAGTAAATAGTCATTTCCGATTTGCCGAAGGAAAAAAAAATTAAACATAATAGAGTTCTTTATTTTGTCGAACTCACATATGTTTTCAAAGAAAATAGCAAATGTAAGATTCAAGTTTGTGACGCTTTCTGTTTTCCCTTTACCGACTATAGCCATCGAAGGCAACAGGTATCGGACTCTTTTCCAAGAGTTCCCTAGCAACAGAAAAAGACACTAAACGGTATCACTGACAAGACTGAAACTGTCCTAGAGCATTCGAAAGTTTTCTGCGAACTTTAAATGGCTGCAATATATTTGCGAATGTTCTAAATAGTGGCGTTTTTTATTTTTTGTGCAGATACAATTTATTTTCAAGATGTGAAGGATGATAAGTTGTCATGCATGAATGTGTCACATTCGTTATATGATCAACATAAAGTAATGCAAACTGATGAAGTTATACACTTATTTGCTAGTTAGATCAATCTTTAGACTAGTAATAAATTTACATTAAACAAAAACTAGAGCGTCAATAAAAAATAGAAAAAAAGTTTCTGTTCGAAATAGAGAAATAAATAAGACGGATTGCTTCGCTCGAGATTGATTATCTTCGAAAATAGCTACAGTTTGGGAGAGATTTTTCACTCAACATCTTGTGTATTAGTATAATGAAGTTAAAGAATACAAATGAGTTCCAAATCTCAGCCACAAATAGGACTACGCTAACTAGTTTTTTTAAACATGTTGAAAAACAATGACAACATGATCAAAAATAACTCAAGAAAAAAAATAGTTCTCGTTATATCAAGCTGATATTTTTTTTTCTAATCTCAATGAATATACAAAAAAATCTTTCTGGTTTTTAAAATGCCTGAAAATGATAAAATATTCTTATCATTTCTATTAATATTTCCGTAAAATTCATTAATTATTTATTTCATTTTGCCCAATCAACTTTCCATCAAGAACAACTATTTTCATATTCATTTCACTAATATAATTACTTTATTACCGACAAATAGGAAATATCTGTAATAATATACTTGAACAAACTAAAAACAAACAAATATTATTTTAGCACGTTCGAAAATTAAATTATATATTCAAAAAATACCTAGAAAAAAGTTTATTTGCAGAAGAATTTTTAATATTTATTTTTTAGTAAAAGAAATGACTTATACATGAATTATATTTATTTTGTATTGTTACAGGTCTATTCAAAACCAGGTCAATTTCAATATGTTCTCACTGATGATGATACAAAAACACGACGTAATTATAAAAAAAAAAAACTTAATAATGGACATTCTTTTTTTTTTTTATAAAACTGTTCTTATTGAAAAGGTTATCCGGTAACATGTCTTAAATTTTATGGTAACAAAGATGATGCTAAAGTAGATCATCAAAAAATGTTAGCTGCTACTTGTAAGTGTAGTCTAGTAAAAAGAAAACAACGTTTATTGTTTTTTGTAAAATAATTTTTAATTTCAATAGATACAGCTGGTTATGTGAAGGTATGGCATTATCCAACTCAACAATGTGTTTTTACATTCGATGAAAAAGAGCGACAACCATTAGCACTTGATTTTAATTGCAATTATACACGTTTATATGTTGCTGGTAAAATTTTTTACTAGAAAAAAAAAACGATATACTTGTTTTTATGTTTCGTGTTTTTTTTTTCTTTGAAATTAGGAAGTGATTGTGTCATTAATTGTTATGATTTTGCTACGAAAAAATTACTACGCAAATTACAAGCATCGTAATTTTTTTTTCTTGATTAAATTATTGGATTAATTGATTATTTTTTTTTTGTGATTGAAACAAAAAAAAATAGAGAAAGTCGAGAAAATATGGATGGTCATAAAAATCGTATACATGCTATTCGTTCACATCCAGCTATGGAAACTGTTTTTCTTACGGGTGGTTGGGATGAAACTGTTCACTATTGGGATGAACGTGCGCCACATTCACAAAAACATTTTGCTGGTCCACATTTATGTGGTGATGCTTTGGATATAATTGCTGAACATCAAGTTATATTAACAGGATCTTGGAGAAGAAATTCAACATTACAAGTATGAAAAAAAATAAATGAAAAACGAAAATAATTATGTTTATTAAATTATATATAGATTTGGGATTTTTCGACGGGTGAACTAATTAAAGATGCTTTTCAGAATAATGCAACTTCCATGGTAAATTATATTTTTTTTTGAACTATTTTGTTGTTTTATTTGTGTTTTGTAGCTTTATTGTACTAAATTCTCTCCAAAAGAATATATTTTATGTGCCGGAAATGACAAGAATGAAGCAATCATTTATGATTATTCAATACTACAGGTAATGATATAATATTTAGAAAAATCTAAACTAACATTTTTTATTTATTTTTTTTTTTGAAAAATAAATAGATGGTTGGTGGTATAACAGATCTTGAAAATGCTGTCTATTGTGCTGATACAGATGTAAATCGACCAAATATGATTGTTGGTTCAGCAAAAAATATTTTTATTGTCAACGATAAATCTCGTCATAGATAAAGAAATGACATTCTGTGATTTCTCAACTCAATTTAAAATGGGTGTGTGTCTTACTTTTGAGTGCATTGTTTTCTATTCTTTGACAAATCATCATAACTAATCATCTGAATGAGCCAAAAAAAAGCTGAAATACACGAAAGTAAATTTATAATAAAAAGAACCGTGAAATAAATATAAAAATTCTATTAGAAATAATCAATATGAAGTGTATTGTATTCTCTTAATTCATGATAAAAAAATCCTTATTGATTTCAAGTTCTAGTAAGTGGTAGATGAGGAAATGATCAATAAGACGAATAAAAAGAAATTTAATATTGTTTTCTATCTTTATAGTGAAATCTTTGTCATTGCGAGGTTTATAAGTTTCCTAAAGCAATGCATTCGTACTTGTGGGTAGTGTCGACGGGAAAACAGCAAAGACTTAAGTCTCATGAAGTCTTATAAACTCTTAAGGAGTCTTTTAAAGCTCTTTGAATGATAGCTATTAATTTATGTTGAAGTCTTCTGAAGTCTCACTAAATTTTGAAGTCTACTGTTTCCCCGTCTGGTGGTGTGAGTGTGAATCGAGGAAAAACGACATTCACCTTCAATTCCACTAAAATATCTAACTTTTTTCGTTTTATTCAATAAACATTTAGCCGTTGTCAAACACAATATTGTCAATAATAAATAAATTTTTCTTTATTTAGACAATACTGATCAAGGGAATTTTCGATGATGAATTAGTTGGAAAGAAAAGGAAAGATTTTTGAAATATATCTCTGCAACTAACAATCGTATAATAGATGTTGTACTTGTCACTGGAAAATTTAATTCTGATAATTTATGTAAAAGAGAATTAAAATAATTTTGCAAAAAATGAATTATCTTATTGTTTACAGAATTAATAATATTTTATGGAGATCATTTATGAAAAGACTTCACAGTATGCAATTCTTTTTCAAAATTATATGAAATTAAACTTAAAATAAAATGTAAATTATATTCGAGAAAAAAATTGTATTCGAATATGATGAAAAAAGTTTTCTTTCTATGAAACATATATTTTTCACGAATGAAAAGCTTCTACTCAATGAAAATAAAAAATTCATATTAATAACGATTGATCGAAAATATATTTTGACAAAAAACAAAGCGCGAAAAATTGTTAGATTTATTATAGATATAAATATGAAGACTAATAATTTAATTGAATTCAATTGTCTTGGTACTATCTTTCTAATTCGAGAAACTTCTCTTAATCGTTTCCCAAATACTCTTCTTGGTTATATTTATATTACTATTTCAAAAGAAAAATACTTCATCATTTTTATTTCTCCTATCTAGGGGATACTAAACGTCGAGCTTCTTTATATAACAAAGTAAAACAACAATACATTATTGATCGACATATTGTTTCTTTTGAAGCAATTATTAATTATTATGAAACAGGCAAATTAATTGCACCTACGATTTATGAACCCATTATTTTTTTTGAAGAGCTTAAATATTTTCAGTTCGATAATGAAACAATTCAACATTTTTATGATACTGAAGTACATGAAGAATTTATTGATCATCATCGTATTGTACCATCAAATCGTATTCTACGAGCTATTTGGATTTCATTAGAATATAATGATTATTCATTCATGACACAAATAGTAAAAATCTTAATAAAATAAATAAAAATTTTTCTCGAATATCTTTATAGATTCAATTAATTTGTTTAATTATTTCTTTGCTCTATTGTTTTAATATTTCTGTTGAACTTATTCCACAATTATCAAGAGAAAAAGTTATCTGTTATAAATTCTCTACTAATCATCATTTGACAAATTGTGATAATATATTTTTTGATTTTCGTCCATCAAAAATTGTAGGTCAATGGATTCTTAACATTGAACAATGTTTGTTATTATTGTAATGATTTTATTCTCAATTGATGATTTGTTTTTGTTTCTCTTTTTATTTTATAAGTATGTACTATTTTTATAACATTGGAATATATTCTTCGTTTTTTAACATCACCTCATAAATGGATAACATTTATTTTATTAATAAATATATGTGATTTATTTACATTATTTGTTAGTTGGATTTATCTAATATTAGTTAATATGAACATATCAAATAATGATAAAAAAGATCCATTTTTTTATATAAAATTATTTCAATATTTAATGCTTTTACGTTTATTTCGATTTTTTCGTCTTTGTCGATATGTTAAATCATTACGAATTCTTTTTTATGGAATTAAAAATGCATTGAAATATATTCTATCTATGGGTTTTATAATACTATTTTTTGTATTTACATTTGGTGTTATTATACAAATTATTGAAAAAAATTGGGATCGTGCTTACGTAACACGTCTTGAAGATTTATTTAATATTGTTACTATATCAACGATAACTGTCGGTGATGCTAAACGTGTACCATTGTCACCAAATGGAAAAATTCTTTGTTCATTTCTTGCTGGAATAGGTAATTCAGTTCAGATATAGTGATGCTCAAGTAATTGATCATATCTTAGCTGATTGTCTTGTTTTTTTCTAATACCTCTTGATGGTTTCAACTTTTAGAATTGCAGTTTTCACTAACACGTAATTCTGTTTTCATAGTTTACTAGATTACTGTGTCAAATATTTATTAAGCTTCTACCCACATATTTTAAAGACCTAGATTTTGTAAAAGATACCATTTATTCAAATCTGTTTAACCTTTTATTTGTTGAAATATTGCTGAGTCATGTTTATTAGAGAATAAAAGTTATGAAAGAATAGAAAAGAAAGTAATAGTGTAAATATGTGTAATGGAAACATATTTTCTTCGAAAGACGAACAATGCTATTGTCAGTTAGAATGAAAACAAAAGAAAAAAAGAAAGCTATCAATGGTGGAAGAAGGAAACAACATTTAAGGATGTCTCTCTTTTTTTTTGACCATTTCTGGTTCTTGAAGATAATTCAATCGATCCGCACAAAGTGTTTTTACCACAGATAGAGCATCTAAAATAAGCAGATGCGTGTTTAAGAAAAAAATTTTAAATAAGGTTGTCACGGTTTTTTCTATAAACTCTGGTTTTCCATTGAACTATACAAGGTCTGCTTACGATGCCATCTAACTTTGTTCGATCGGACTAAAAATTTTATTTTTAGAGATACTTAAAGTATATTTCAAAGCTAATTTTAAACTCCTTGAAAAATCTTTCTCTCTTCATAAAAGAAATACGTGTAAGTTATAAGAATTTAATGCGAACCGATTTTACTCTCTTCAAAAAGCAGAGATGGACAAAAAGAAGATACTTTTAATGTTAAACTCTATTTGTATCTATAGTGATATAAACTTAATGAGAATACATAAAATACAAAGTAACAACATCGTGCACTCTTTCGATACGATGAACATTCAAATTTTGACATTTGTAACAATTTTAATAATGATTCAGGTGATGAAATTACTTCGATCATTGATGAATATAAAAATAAACTACTATATGTTTATTAGCATATCCATATCACAAGTAAAAATATAAAGATATGGTAGGATTAAAAATCTCGTATTTCATCCTTGTTTATGATAAGTTGCCTTTTTTTTTAATGTCTTGACTAAAGAACAAATGAAACTTCTTGAAAATATTTTTAAAATGTGTCTTGTCATTTAAAAGGATACAATACGAACCCTACTATTTAGCCATTTTTGCTTGTGTTGTGTGATCAATTTTTGAGTGATATAAAAACATGTCATTTTTAATATTCCTAATTTGAACTTCGTAAATGTCTGACAAAGTGAGCAGATAAACAACGAAAATAGAGTTACATTCTAGTGAAAGTCATAACTCTATATGTTAAAATCATCTTGAGACATTAGAAAAAATGAAGTTATCTGTTACGTTTATGATAAATTTTGAACGTCATCGTATGAATAAAAATAATAAGTAATGATTTTTGTTTTTTTGAAGGATTAATTGGAATATCTTTACCATTACCTTCTATCTATCGACAATTTCAATCAATTTATCGATTAGAAAATATGGATAAAAGATTTATTATTCCTGAATATGTTTATCCGAATGGAAAACTAGTTAAAAATCAATGATGACAACAATAATCTTACTGATAGAATGAATTCAAATTTTTATTTTAAAAATAAATAAAACAATGAAAATCTTTCGAATTTTTCTTACATACCACCATTTTTTGGTCTGAAACGACACTTTTATCGCGCGAACCTGCTGGAAATTCAGAGGTTCGAACGTCAAAACTATGGACCTGAACTCGTAAGAAAGCAAAGAAAATTACATATGATCGTTTATGAATGCTGACCGATTAGCAGACAACTGATAGCATTGCATAACTATATCACATAAAAAACAGTCTCTAAGGAAATAATAGAGTACTGCATAATGATCGAAATCATAAGTACTATGATTTATGCCGTCAGTAGGGTCAATTACCAGATCACACATAGAATAATCGATATAATAAATATGAAGGGATCTGAAAAGTAGTTCTCTTTAAATTCTAATCTTGATCTCGTAATTTCGACTTCGCTTACAAACATCAACAACTGCCTTCCATATTTTCTATAATTCTTTGAATACATACAAAACTGATATGAATGCTTTTGATTTGATAGTAGTATAAACATTCTTTTATCTGAATGTATCAGAATAGAATAATACATAGGAAAATACAAAGTCTACCTTGCACTTCAAAAAAAATTTGTGCAACTATTTTTAAAAGCTATAAGTTTCAGATCTGAAATTATTTGTCAGATTTCAACAAAAACTACTGGAATATGATCATCAAAAAATAAGAATTAAATCAATAGATAATATTACTTGAATGATAAGACATTAATGAAAGACAAAAAGTAATGAAAATGATAATTTAATCTATTACTTTAAAGAAATAAAATGAATCAAAAACATGATTCATATTTTGTTTTTGTTTTGTTAAAATACAAGTTAATACAACAATTCTTGTTTATAAACTATTCACAATCATACCATTCATAAGAGATTACATACTATAAATGAATCATTCATTTTGAATAATTGCAACACATGTTTTCTCTATGTGACTTATTTATAGAGCATTTATATGGTACTTTTTATTTATCAATAGAATAAAAACTAGTTTTCGATTGCAATTATGTTTTAAATTAATTATGCCAGCTGTACATAAAGATTGTATCATTAAAAAACGAACTTTTCATTGTTATCTTACAGTACATCAATTATCATAAATTTCATTTTAATTACATCGATCTTTTTTTCCCATCTCAGCAGGAGTTCTCTTATTCTTTCATTTTCAATCGAATTCATATAGATCTAAAACTATGTAAGACTAACAAATTGAAAATTTTCTATCGTTTCATATCCTAATACAAGAGAATGCATCAACATTTTTCTCTCTCTCTCTCTTTCTTTCTTTCTCTCTCAATTGATTTTAACACACCTATTGAGTAAACAATAATTGAACAAATAACATAACTGTTGAAGAAAAGATCGATCGACAAATGAAACCAAAATCAATTTAGCCAAACAAAATTCAATTGATTATATCTGTGAAAGAAAAAGAAAATACTACTACTGTAATTATTTCTCGACTATCCATCATTAATAATAGATAGCAAAAGAAAAGCTAGAGAAGAATTTTGCTCTTTTGTGTAACGAGTTTTGTATATATGCGTGTTGTTTCACATGTGTATCGTAATGATCTTCGAGCAAATGTCAATGTCCACCACGACTATCAACTTGTGTCAATAATGAGCGACATGTTTTGTACAATCTTTCTACTAAACAAAAAAAAAAAAAGAAAGACAATCAAGTCACCTCTTTCTTTTGTGAATCATCACAAGATTATTGCGCAAATGTCTATTTGGAGTCCGAGGAAGAAAAGATGAAACAAAAATTAATCTCTCTCGTGTATGTGTGTAGGTGATGATCGAATTGATTATGAATGTGGCAAAAGTAAAACAAACAAACAAACATGATCATCGCGTTGGTCTGGTGAACATACACGCGTGCCCTATCAATCATTTATCTTTATTTCTTCTTCTTCTTCTTCTTCTTTTTCCTCATTCGCATTTTCGGAATGGAATTTGATTGGTAGCCGATAAGCTTTTACACTCTAATTACTTCGTGTGGGTAAGATATAGTGAAAGCGCGCGAGCGCGCACGAGCCTGCGCGTATATGAATCAAGAAGATGAGACGTTATGTTGTTCCAAGATGGTATGTATTTCAAACGACGATAGATAACGATTATTCTCGAACGAGCCAAAAAAAAAAATAAGAAAAAAAACTGGCATCAACAACATGACACATACTCAATGGAATTTCAGTTCTACGTGATCAGATAGAATATAGAGTCGAATAAGACACAATCATTTTCTTATTTTTGTATTTTAGTTTTTTTTTCAATGTTACATGAAGATAAATAATTGGTAAGATATTAATGGATATATTTCGACATTTTTTGAATTAGTATTAAGTTTTCTTCATATATGGCAATCATCCTAACATTCATGAAATTATTTTAGATTATTTATATATGTATGTACATCATTGATGAGTACTAATACACTTATTAATGAAAATTTATCTGTTAATAATACAACATCCACGACATCATTAAATAATGATGGTCCTATAGCACATCTTGATCATATGTTAAGTACACTTCATGATGAACAACAAACAACACGAATACCATCCAATGTATCCATTGATACATATGATAATAAATCACATCGAATAAATCATCGTGCAACATCACGAACAGATGGAAAAATTGTCGAATGTTCATCAGAAAATGCAATTGTTTATCGATATTATACAGGAGAATCAGGTTCAATTATTGAAGAACATTTTGATAAGGCACTTAAACAACCAACATCATTTAATTCAACAAGATCAATTTCAACACGAGGTAAGTATAATTATTTATTATTGATTCATTAAAGAACTTTTTAATTTCTCATTTGAAAAGAAAAGAAACGCGAATTAATGAATGCAGATTTATGCGAAAGAAGCGAAGATAAGATGATAGAAAAACAAAAAATTACACTCTTCATAATCTACATATTGAAATAATAGTATGAACAAATTCTATATCAATTTCCATAGCAAGAAAATCTCAAATTAAGAGTAATAAATGTTCTAATATGTCTAGAGTGGTGTCGAAGCAGGAGAAGATTCAGATCCCTCACATGATACGGGCTTTTACCACCCCTATCTAGTGATTTTTTTTGAAAGACGTGCGTTTTTATTCAAAAATCTTCTCAATGAGGCTCAAAATTCTGTAGAGAGGTTCGAAGCTCTTCCGTCTAAAGTTCTAATTTCACCACTGGTCAAAATTACTACGTTACGTTGTTTTTATTTCTTGACATTTTTGAATTCTACGAAAAAAACTTCTAATTAGATCCTCGAACATCATCTTATGGATATTCAAGCATGATGAATCCATCAAGTAGTTTTTGGCCTAATTTTATGACATCGCCAACTTCATATCCACATCCAACTTATCTTCCGACATCACAAAATGAATATACTGATTGGATGCATCATCATCATGCATATCGTTCACCTTATTCAGCAAATTCAACAACAACAACATCATCGTCATCATCATCAGCTATTTCAAGCAATCATTTACATTCAATTGGATCACCAAATAATACAAATCTTAATAATAATGCAGGACGCTATCATCATCATACGTCACCTGATATGGATGTTGTTACAGCAGCAGCTATCGGAGCTGCAGCCGCTGCACAAATGTTTCATCATGAAAAACAATCTCACCATGGTTATACACCAACATCTCATCATTTTGATTATCATCTTGGTGGATCGATGATGGCAACAGCATCATATCCGTTTCCTACTCAAAGTAAAGATTTATTGTTGTTGTTGTTGTTGTTTTTCTTAAATTATTTATTGATTTCTTCTTTTTATTTGTCTTTTCTAGGTTTTGATTTAATGGGTACAAGTACATCAACAATGGGTTTAGAAAATCCAAATATTAAAGATTCAACAACAACGACACCTTGGTATTCAAATCATCATTTGTCATGTTGAATAATAAAAGAAAAACAACAATCAATTCTTCAATTTATTTGGTTATAATTATATATATATTTACTAAAAACACATAAAGAAAATAAAACAATTCTTTTTTTCTTTTTCCTATTGTAATTTATTCAAGATGTAATTGAATTATTTCTCGTTGATTACGTCGTTATGTTATAAACAATACTGCATCATCGTCAATACGTAAACGACAACGTTGTTTTAACTTTTTTTTTCTTCTTTAATGTTTGTCTCACATTTGCTCTTATATAATTTTTATCTATTAAGAATGTAGATAATTTCTGTGATGTTGATATTATTGATTAAAGATTTATCATCATCACTGTTTTCTTTTACTTCCTCTTGTTTATTATAATCTTAAAATGGCTTAATTATATAATTTTTATTTTAATCAAATTAATCATCTTCGAAAAACAATGAAAGATGATTGTATTATAGACTAATACTTTCGGATATTTAAAAAAAAAAAAAAAGCTTTATTAAATCAAATATTTTTATCATGAACTTGTATATTTATATTTAAATAAGCAAAATATTATTCGACGAAGTAAATTTCAGCTTTACAGGAAATGTAATGTTTGAGGAACACTTCCATGAAATCAGAAAAATAACATTCATCATATAGTTTTTCTGCGAAGGTAATTTTCTAAGTATTATTATATCGAATCGTAATATATTTTTTGAGAATATCTGTGTTGTTTACAGTTTAATATTGCAATCTTTAGAACACAACATTTATGATTCATAGTAATAGTATGATTCTCAACTGTATCATGTATTTCAATAACTAAGGAATAGAAATTCATCTACCATTCGGCGACTCTAAAAATCAAAAAGTTAAGATATATTTGATGTTCACAATCCGTCTCTAAAAACTAATAGAAAATGAATGATTGTATGAATATGAAAAAAATTATCAAGAATAAATTATTTTGTCTATTATTGAATCAGAGAAGCAGAAGGAAATCGATGATTAGTTATAGTTTTTGCCAAAAACTATCGTAGATTTGCTGATTATTCTTCGATAGGTAAGCAATTCTTAGATATTACTTAGAATTCTTTGAAATAATTTTGATTTCAAGGCATATGTTAATGTTATTCAAGTTTTAATTTATTCAAAATACTTTATCACGATACTTGAAACACATTATTGAAAGTATATGTTTAGAAAAAGTTCATGTAAGATATGACGTCAAATGAAACTATTGTAACAGATGGCATCAATGCTTGAGAAATAATTAATTAATCATATACAGCATGGATTAAGGACATTTTTTTGACATAATTTTATCGAGTTGTTCCGAATGAGACATTGAAAAATAATCGAAAAAGATTTCAAGAATACTTCTCTTTATTTATTATTTTCTGTATATCAACGTAATTGTGATCAGTTTATAATTTTAGAGTACGTACATTAAAGAATTCAAGTTTGTGATATGATAAAAATTTCTGTAAATATTATTATAATATATCAAGAATCGTACGTATGCAGTCAAGTTTTGACTTTTTTACAGTTGATATTTGAAGAATAACATGGGGCATTTTTGTTAATGTGTGTTTTTCTTTATTTACATTTAGGAGTCTTCTCTACTATGCTAAAAGGTCAATTATTCGGAGTAATTTTTAAAAAAAAGTATAAAAGATGACTCACTATTATAAAATAACAGAAATTCATTTTTTTTTTGCGTCTTCTATAAATTTTCTTCTTTACCTTTTGTTATAAGATCTCAATAAATCCAAAACTTGATCCACTTAACTTATTAATATGTAAACTCGATAACCTTCAGCAAATAATTATCAAACGCATCACCAGATTTCCTTAGGATAGAGATGTTTAAAATTTTTCTTCGATAAAAATAAACCAGAAGAAACATGCGAATCCTGTGTGTGTGCGTATGTTGGTTTTTTTTCGAAAATACTCCCATATATATACAGAGAAAAGAACGATAATGATAATATGAAAAAATGAAGAGATTACAGGAAAAAACCTATGTCTTTATTTGTTTTGTTCGTTGATAATTTTCTTTCCAAACAAACTGTTTGATTTTCTTATTGTGTTGATGGTGGTGGCATAGAATTATTGACTATTATTGGTGTTGATGACGGTGTTATAGTAGCAGCACATGATAATTTTCTTGGCATAACTGTTTCAGGTGTTGGAATTTCATGACCAGTTATTGTTTCAGGTACAATGGGTGGTGCTGCTTCTTTAATACTAGTCGTTCTATTTGTTGGATCTGGTTTACTTGAGACTAGTTTACCTTGTGCTTTAGCCACATTATAATCACCAGAGTCAAAATATTTCGGCTAAAAAAAATTTGATAATAAATTAAATGTAATATATATCAAAATTCTTTTCTTTACCTTATTCATTAATTTTTTTGTTAACATATTTTGTTGTCGAGGAAGTGCGCCACCATATTTAGCTCTCAATTTTGCTTCTTCACTCATTTCTGGTGTAGTATCCATATCCTAAAATAATAGACCAATTTGTTTAATTCTGTAAAATACTCTATGCAAATATTAACCGATGGCGTTGTATTCTCGGTAGATGAAGCCATTTGGAATGTTGATGGATTTTTTTTTTGTTTTTCAAATAAGAGTTTGAATTTTTTTCTTTCTGATTGATAAAATAAACAAAATAATGAAAAAAAAAAGATGTAGAAGAACAAGACAATTATATTTATATATATGAATGAATGACGATGTTATTTTGTACACATACACACAAACCCGTCTATATACAAAAGAGAATAAAAAAATTAGATATTTTTTTTTTCTATTCTTATATTTTCGAATGCTTTCTATTGGCTGAATATTTTAACAATGTTGAAAAATTATTTTCAGAAAAAAATATTCAATAATAAAAAATTTATCTATTAAATGAATTTCTATTTGAATTAATATTTCAAATAAAAATATTTCAATTTATTTTATAATTAGAGGTCGCTACCTTTCTATTATGTCTTAATAACATAATAAAGATAGACTATTTACATGTTATTAAATATAGGAATTCACGATGATAAGATAAAAAAAAGACTGAAGATGAATCCTTCTTTTATCTATCATCACGAAAGTTAGCAGTGTGAAGAGAGAATTATCTTAGAATAAACAACGCAGTTGCAGCTAAAAATAGAAACGACGTAATTGACGCTTCCAGGGAGGACGATAAAAATGACTTGTGATTGTGAGATTAGACTTAAAGTAGTATTCAAAGAAAAAATTAATCACACGACAAATGCTTCTATGTTTGATTTTGTTTTGTTAAAGAGAATACATCGTTATCTATAAAGTCATAAAAAAAACACAAATACCGATTGGCTTACAATTGTAACATGCATTGAGTCCAATAAAGATTTTATACAAGAAATTAACATTTATATCATCGTATCTCAAAAACATCTCAACATTACGGTCAAATGTTTGAATTGAAAATATGATTTTATTTGAAGAAAATATTCGTAATGAAATTATCACATGTCAACTTGATTATAAGAAACAAATAGGTGTGATTCTATAAATAGTTTTTAAAACAAAAAGTGCTGTTTTTTATTGAAGTTCTTTTTATAGCAAACAGAAATATATAAGAGCTACGACATTATTTTTACTTTATGTGTCAACTGTCATCAAATATATCAATAGGTTTTTTTTTTCTTTTATACATTACTTCTTTACAAATGATCAATTATTCAAGCTGTCTTATAGTGACATGAAAATTTTAGCAATGAATTATGAAGTATTTCAAGTGTAAAATTCGCATATATTTAAACAAATATTCAAATTTAAAGACTCTAGCAAAACAATTAAAATAATTACAAGATAAATATTACTTCTGAATATGTGTGATTCAGCTGTGCTTATTTTATTAGCATAAACGAATATTAGAAAATCAAGGGTCTAAGTAATCGAATAATAATACTGATAAGGACTGTTTATTGTTTATCAAAACACTCCTTTTATGCATCATCCTTGTTCTATTTATGATTAAAAGTATACACCTATATTTGAAACAAGGTACAATCAAGGCTAAGAAATATCATAAATAAATATTAGTATGTATAATTTTAAAAACTGAAAATTTAATTGATATTTAATTCTTTTATATCTATATATTTGTTAAAAAACTCTTTTATTTTCAAATTCAATTCATGGCATTTGTCATCAAACCATCAATATTATCTTTCGATGAGTTTCTTTATAAACATAGGTTGCGTTTTAGTAATGATACGAAATTGACACTGTCTAATCCTTACCGTAATATACTTTTTCACATCTTTTATTTTGATACAGATCCATGCTTTTTTAAATCATTTCGTTCTTTGATCAATGAATTTCATATTGTCGATCATTTATTCATTAGGAATTATTTAAATATACATAAATGTTCATTTGTTCGAAATAAGATAAATTTCCATATTAATGAATTATTTTTTCTAATCATATGATTATTATTACTCGAACAAGTAAGCAAATAGCTTATGATATGTCAGACTTTCAAAAGAGATGAACAGTGAAAAGTCTGTGCTCACTATCCTTTTTAAGAGATTGTTTAATGATTGATATAAAATCGTATATGTAATTCTTGACAGATGCATAACTCAGTACTGGAGACAAGCGGGAGTGGACATAGAGTGGTTGAGTCTCAGAAGAATGGGTATTATCTGACCAGTTTTTAAAAGTAAAGAGATGTTATTTGGACGAGTTTCAAATCAGGAAGCATCAGGCTACATGCTAGACTCGTTGACTTAGTTCTGAAGGCGGTCAAGTCCGAGTTCGAAAATTTCGGACCAAATGAGTTCTAGACATCTGAGAAATATGTACGGTGAACTAATTACTAAATACAAAAAAAAAATAGAATTTCGTATCTTTGAGGTGACTATCCGGTTTTCATTGGGAAGTTACATTGAGAATATCAGAGTGCAGTTCGATCTTGTCCGAAAATTTTGGATCTGATGTGCTCTACTTCACACTCACCCTTTAAGTTACGCTACTGATTGTCAACTAATCCTAACATATCACTAATTACACTAGAAGATATATTTATTAATTATAAAACTTGTCATGAAAATTAACATAAAGGCTTACTTGTCACGTCTATAATATCGTGACATGTCATTGAATATTTCTTTTTCTACAGACGGTGAATAAAATCGGAACAAGAGAAGAAATACTTCACAATAACATACGAGAGTTGTTGTACTAAAGATCCAAATCAATATTGAATTAACTTGAAAAATTTTCAAAATTGTATTAAATTTGAAAAATGATATTCTATCAATTAGAATTAAGAATGATGAAGCAATTTCACAGATGATCGGTTTCACATTGAATTTTTGAATGAATCGTATTATCTAGTTTCTGGTTTATATGTGTTTGTTTTTTCTTTACTTGTTGATCTATCTTTCAGTAAATCTGAACTTTTTCAATTATTTGTTTTAGACTAATCTCTGTAAGAAAGTTATACCCTGCCTAAAGGCCTACATTGAAGTTAACTAAATGTCTTACTAATAAATCAGATTTACCACAAGAGGTCTTTTGAATTGTAAGTTTTATCCTTTGGTATTCAATGTATTAACAACTATGTTCTCGAACTTGAATTGGTGTCTATTCGAGGACTACGTCCATGAGCAGAAATGATACCCATGATGGTCGCTAATCGTGTCATCGAAAAAAAACCAAGACTCTAATAGTTATGTTTCTTCAATAACTAAGATAGAATCTTGTTAAATCTTATTTTTAACATAAAATACTTTGCAAACAAATAATTTTCTTCGAATTCTGTTCGCATAAATATTCAACCAATCTAATTTTTTACTCGAACATTAATTTTATCACACGTGTATTTACACAAGAGTTATTTCTCTTTTTTTTTTTGTCATCTCATTCGTTTGCTGTCTTTTATCTTTCGAGATTAAAAAATTTGTTGTATCATGAGTTGTCGACATGCAATGACAGAAAAAAACTTATACAAATACAAGATGAAAACACAATAAAATAAAACGAAAAAAAAATAATATGCCAATAATCTTCAGTATGAATAAAAAGTTTATCACGTTTTTTTTTAGCTCGAACACATATAGAAATGAATCATTCCACCTTTGGAAAAAATAAACAAAAATATATTATCTAATCTAAATATTTTCACTAAAGATTGTATACGTAAATCCACATACGATCAAAACACATTGTTAATGGATCAATTAATTCAAGACGATTTTCGGGTAATAAATTTCCATTGATAACACCAGAATGAAAAAGATGTACGCGAAATATACAAAATTGATTATTTTCAAAATTTTGTGTAGCTGCATCATGTGCATCACGTACACTGGCATAAACAATCAATGGTTTAGTTAATTCTTTGCCTTCATTTTGCCAACGAAGTAATTGAAAAATATCAGCTGGATTTTTAGTTGGACAATAATAATAAATAGGTTTGGCACGGATATTTGAACTATAGAAGAAAAAAAAAGATCTTTAATCGAAAATTGGATAAATATTAAAATACCTTTGTTGTTCCTTATATTTTGAGTAGATATTTTTAGATATTAATAATTTAATTGGAAATCCTAGTTCATCGGATAAATAACGTTCAACATCTTCGTATTCATCTTTATCATGAACACCTAATAGAAAAATATCTTGATCATGTTCAGGTAATGGTGATGGTAATGAAATATCAGATTTAGATGAGAACATATCATCATATGATGATAATTCTCTTGTTAATGCCATTGGTGTTGAACGTTTTGACGAAGACGGTGTACTACGTTGTGGATTAGTTGTTGATTTACTAGAAAAGAGAATTCGCATATATTCAAATTCGATTTCTATTTCTTTTTGGAATGAAAGCAGCTCGTTCAATAGTAATTCAATTTTTAAATCAAATGCATGTCTAGTTTTCTTTTTAAAACAATATTCGACGGAAAATGATTCTATCACTGATACTAAAAAATGAACAGAATTTTAAAAAAGTGTTCAGTTTTTCAATCACTCTTCATATGGACATATAGGACGATTATTGATTTAGTATGAAAATCAGAACTTGGCAGGAAAATTAATCTTAATCCAACGAAGGAAGACTCTCAACTGATCGGTGCTATTTTTAATGACATTTTGTCCATTTATTGGGGAGTTTGTTCTAAGCAAATTTCTAAGGAGGTTTAAATTGATGCGGCTGTCATCAAGGTTATGATCATTCTACCGTTTGTTTCTACTTAGCACAAAGTATACACAGAACAATCGAATAACAGACTTTCAATCCAAAACTTTGCTTGTATGTAGTTCCCGTAGTCATTCAAACATTCTAAAAGTGTCAAAGGGAAAGAAAGTTTTCTTCTGGAGATATCAATTCTTGAAAACTTGTTTCAAAATCTATAAGTCTAGACAAATTCACTTTTATTAACAATTCTATATCCATGACAAGAAAACATTTTATTTCATTGAAACATTTGAAATATTTCAGAGACTACGTAAACTGCATACGAGCAAAACTTTGACGTGAAATTCTGTTGTTCGATTTTTCTATATACATCTTGTGCTGAGTAGAAAAACCAATGAAATGGTGATAGATTTTAGAGAAAACCTTATCAGTGCAAAATATCTTAGAGTTCTTCTTAGAACTATGTTGTCAACATATGGACTAAATATCATTGAAGACAGCGTGAATTAATGAGAGACCTTCCATCGTAAGATAAACAATTAATGAATATGTTAAGAAAATTATTTTGGAATTAAAATATAAGAATAAGTGACCTAATAAAATTTAATAAATCTCGATTTTCAGAAAATATATGATATCAGACATATCGAATTAATTTGATTTAACTTACCGTTGGTTATCATTTGAAATAACAAATTTTGAATTTGCAGATGATTGATTAGATGTATTAACTTTATTAATATAATCTGGTTTTCTATAAAATAAAAATTGATTTAATTTTTAAAACTTATCAAAACAGTTCTTTTGGAGCTAAAATGTGAAACTTCCATATGTTTATTAATCTCATTATACTAACAAAAAATATATAAAATGAAAAGTCTTTAACAAACTAGAGTTATTTTCCAAGAATAATCAATCGATCGCCAGAAAAACAATCTATCTGATTTTTTTTCTGCATTCCGAACAGAAATTCTTTCATTTTTTTAAAACTAGCACTCTATTTTTTCCTTGTCTTATTACTGTTTGCTCACACTTTTTTTTCGTATTATGATAAACTCAGAAATATTGATATTAAAGGATAACTTAATTAGTTCATATTTTTTATGTTGATTATATGACGACAATCTCAAATCAATGCATCGCTACCCATCATTCATGACATCTTGAATATGTTTCTTTTTTGTACAAAAGTCAGAAATAGTACTACTTTAAACATTTACAAATGTATTACAGCAATTCAGATTTCGAGCAAACGCCTTTTTTGTTGTTAACAGTGTTTTATTTAGCGTGGAGACTGACAGGGTTGTGCTTCTCTTGGAGTTTGTAGGTATTATACTACGTACTATGCGTTTATGCTTTCAAAAGCGAGTGTTCGTCTTGTCGAATTTTCAAATCGTCTCACTGAAAGAGAAATTCTCAATAAAACTCTGGTTGCTAAGGAACTCTGTGAAAGAATTAAGGTGCCGTTTGTTCTTATTTGCTATAAAAACGTACTCAATGATCGTTAGCTCTTCTCCTTCCATCTGCAGTTGCTAAGACCTTCAGCAAGGAAGAACCACAAAAACCTTGATTTAAACTTACACTCACTATTTTCTTCAAAAATATATGTGAGTTTCATCAAATAACATACCGTTGTCGAAGAACTTTTCTAAAAGCATCTAAAATATCTTCATATTCGTGTTCAATTAATTCTTTCTGTCGAAAATATGCAAGACAAGCATCATTAATTACATGTTGGCAATGGGGTTTTGTACAAGAATCAGTTAAAGCATAATAACAATAATGTAATTTTTCACACTTAGATTTTTTTGAACAACCACCTTTCTTTCCATGATCAGTACATACCCACAACTATATGAATCAAATAAAGAAACGATACACTTTATTTTGTTAATAACTTTCTTCATTTACCGATCGATGTGGATCAGCACTTGCTCGAGTTACTTCATGTAGAATACGTGTTGGTATGAAAGATAGGGCACGAGCATCAATAATTTTTCGATTATGAACACTTTTTAAAACATCATGATCATATGGACAAGTTTTATTTGTACATTTTGTATGAATTGGTCTCACATTATAAGGACATAGATGTAAAAACGGACATGATTCATTTTTACAATGTTGTGCATAATGTGTACAGCAAAAGAGCTAATTAAAAATAAAGAAAAGAAAATATTTAGTTTTTATGTTGTTTTTTCTCATACTTACATCTAATGTAAGAGCTATTTTTTCTGATGTTTGATTACGATTATTTGATGGTCGTAATAATTGAAAATAATCTTTATAAGAATCATCGTTTATTAATTGTAAAAGATAATCTTTTGAAATTTGTAACTGATCAATTATTGTATCTATTCTATCGATTGAATAGTTTGTATTAAGTAAATGATTTATAAGGCGTAGTATATCATCCATGATTATTTTTACTAACAAAAATTTCTGCAAAAACGAAAAGAAATAATAATAATATATTATCTACTAAATTTTACTTCGCTTCTCAAAATGATCTTTTGTTTTGGAAATAAAAATTATTTTTTTTTTTTTGTTTTGTTTTTCGATGAATGTCTTTTAATTCAATGTCCGATTTCTTTCTTCTTTTGTCTTTGTGTTATTATATATGACAAAAAAACAAAACAAACAAACCATAGTGTTTTGGTTTTTTTAATGGAAAAAAACTAAAACACGATAAAAAATAGCTGCTCAATAAACTACATGCAATGCATAAATCAATCCTTTTCTTCTGTTCTTATTACTGGGAGTATTGCACTGGATATAGATCACCTGAGAAAAAGGCAGAGAAGCGAAAAGAAAACAGAAAAAGAAAAACAAAACAACATCACGCAAGTGACCAAAACAATAGCAGATAACGGAAAAAAAGGAAACCAACAAAACAAACAAAAAGAAAAACGAGTTGTCAAACATTCATTCTCACTACTTGAATCTTTGTCAAAGAAAAAAAACCAAACAAAAAGAAAAAAGAAAAGGTAAATTTTCAAAACATTATCATTGGTTGTTGTTGATGTTGACCATGTTCATCCATCATTAATGTCATAATCATCATGGGTTGTGGTTGTTGTTGTTGTTGTTGTTGTTGATGTTGTTGTTGTTGTTCTAATTGATATCGATAAAAATGAGAACGTTTTCTAGATAAAAACAAAGATTGATATTAATAAAATATTGTTTAATATTTAATGAATATATTTTACTTGTTTTCATCAACAATACGAAAAAGTGCAATAACATCTATAGGTTCAATGTGTGCAAGGCCACGACGTTCCAAATAATCAATATTACGTTGTGTCATTAATGAATGTCCAGCTTTACAATCACCATATTTGCATAAATGAGGTGAACACATATAAAAATAACATAGATGTAAATCATCACAATTTGCTTCTCGACATGGTTTTGGTTTATGATGACAAACTGCAAACTAATAATTGATAAAAAAAACAAAAGAATATTGATGTAATGTTTTATAAAAATAGATTTTTTCGTTCTTACTGTTTTACTTGGATCAGCTGAAGCCAAAATAAGCATAATAAGAGTTTTTTGTGGTAAATTTTCTAAACCACGTTCAATAATAACACGTCGATTATGTTCCGTATCGAGTGAGTGTGATAATGGACAATCATGTGGTCGTTGACAACGTCGATTAGGTAGGACAACCGATGGACATAGATGTAAATAGGGACAAGCAATATCTTTCGTACAACCATTTGGTGGACGTGCATAAAACGTACAATTGGTTAGGTCAAGTACAACTGCAATACGATCATCCCCAGGTGTATCAGTTGCACGAAGACGTGCAAAAACAAATGGATGAGCAGCAACAATTGATAAAATATGTTCAACAGGTGCTTGTAATGATGCACATAGTGTCGAAAGACGTGAAAGTGAATTGGTTGTTAGAAGTGTGTGAAGAAGAGCAATAGCATTAGCATCTAATAGAGGCATGATGATAGATGAACTATCCTAGAAAATAAGAGAAAACTAAATAAAATTGCTATCATAGAAAAATTTCGATTTAATATAAAATTTCAATTATGCTATGGCACACATTTAAGACCTCTCTTCCCTTCAAAATATCGACTTTTCAAAAAACAACGAAACACTTTCTAAGATAAACACATAGATATGATCTTTTAAGGTGTCTAGTTTGAAAATTCATCAGGATGATTTTCAATTTTAATAAGTTTCTAAAGATCTTCAGCGAAAAGACCAATGGTATATCCATGAGTAAATTATAAACATTATTGCAGTTACGGTAACTAATCATAGTTCAACTTGTGCTTAGGAAGCCATCCGATAAGGTTCTAAATGAATTTTTGATTAGTATGAAATAAAACCATATTTGATGCTCATGTCAGAAAGTTCTTCAGATAAACATATAAAACGATTCTAGAAATCGATTTTAACATAAATTGTCGGATTTCGAACAATTTTCTTTTCGATAATATTCGCTTCAGTTTTCTTTTATTCGATAGACATATTCATTGTCTTTTAAATGAGCTATAGGGAATTAGTATTTGGCTTTTAAGTTCAAACCAATCATGAGTTTTCTAGAAGACATTGGAGGCGTCCAACAAATGAGATAAGAAAATCCTTTCCATCATCCGAAGTGGTAAGGAATACGCTTCAAAAATAAGACTAGATAGAGCGTGGCAGCTTAAAATGTATTGAAAAAACATTTGTTAGAGTAAAAAAGCCATATTTTGCACTATGAGTCTTGAAAATCTTCTGCACACTAAGTTTCGGAATTGTGAAAATTTTTTAATAGTGTTCTTTAATTACTCTAACATATTCAGAAAGTTTCATGGAAACTCTATGTACCGTACTGAAAATCAATTTTTGAATGAGGCAGAGGATAGCGCGAAAGTCTTAAAAACGATCATTGAAAAGTTGTTTTTTTTTCCAGTGAACAGAAAAATTAATTTTCATTCAAATTTATAATAAAAAGTAGATTAGAAAAAGAAGCAACTTGAAGTATACTCAATAAGTTCTTTTTCTTTTTCTAAATAATATTTACTAATTAAATTTTAGTATGATAACAATAAATAGTGTTTTTATTTGAAGACAGGTAAATTAAAGATCAGTACAATTTAGAAAAAAAAAAAAGAAAACCTTAAATTATTCAACCTACTTGAAGTTTTTAATTTCTGTTCGTTGAACACGGGAACGATAGTAATAATCTAGAAATGAAGAAGTTTTTACTCATAGGCCTTATGTCTCTTGTCTATATATGTGTGTATTTAATAGGAATGAGAGAACAACAGAATCAACAATAATTGTAATAAAAAAGAAAAAAAAGTATCTAAGAAGAAAAGTTTGTTCACCACGATGTTCGGTATTGTTTCGTTTTTCTTATTTATTTTTTTTTCTATTCTTTTTTTGATGTTTGTGTTGTTAAAGTTGGTTGTGTTGTAGTTGTACTACCCATTTGTTTTGCTTGTTTTTTCTTTTCAGCTTCAATTTCATTTTCTTTTTCAATTTCAGCAATATATTTTTCGACTTCTTCATGACTAAGTGTTTTTAATGGTTTATGTCGTATCATAACAGCAATTTCAACATTTTTCGATCCACTTTGTACAACTTCAAGTAGAGCTCGAATACATAATTTAATACATTCATGTGTTGATTCATATATTGTTTCTGTATAAGATTTTTCTAAATATTCCCGAACAGTTTTAGCTTGTCGACCAATTGCATTTGCTTTCCATTCATGATAAGTACCACTTGGATCTGTTGAATAGAGACGTGGTGTACCATCATAATCAAAACCAACAATTAATGTTGATAAACCAAATGGACGACGACCACGACCTTGTGTATATTTTTGTTGTAAATCAGCAATATAACGAGTTATATATTCAATTGTTACTGGATCTTCAACATTAAGTCGATGAGATTGACATTCAATACGAGCACGATGCATTAAAACACGAGCATCAGCTGTAAGACCAGCAAATGCCATAGCAACATGATCATCAAGTACGCAAATTTTACGAACCGTACTGAAACATGAATAAATAAATTTGAAAAGAAGAAAAATTCGATATGTCTAGTTAGTCCTACCGATCTTCTTGTAAAACAGCAACAGCTTTTTTTTCAACACCTAAAACAACAATATTTTTACCACGCACACCAACGGCCGTTGATCCTTTCTTGACAGCTTCTTGTGCATATTCTACTTGAAAAAGACGTCCATCTGGTGAAAATACCGTAATTGCTGTATCATACTCTCCTGCCATTATTATAAATATTCGTTAATTTTAATCTAAAAGGGAAAACAAAAACTATAATTACAAACAGTTTATTAGAAATAGAATCATACTAGCTGATCTTACAATCAAATAAACATACACACGTATACTTATGTACACAATCAATTTCTGATACACAATGAGTCATTCATCGATGCTTCAATAAGAAATATTAGAAAGAGTTTTTTCTTTGTTTCGTAATTGATACTTTATAGAAGATAGTTCAATGATTATATTGATTGATATATTATTATAACTATGTCTATTCTTTTATTTGATCTATTTTTTTCACAAAATACAATAAATAGTTGACAGATGACGCTAACAGCAAGTCATTCCTTAGATAAAATTATATGTATATATAATAAATTAAAGTTAATCTTTGGATACTGTTTCATTCAAACTTTTGATCATCACTGATAATGACTTTTGTCTTAGAAATGAATGTAATTTATTTCGACATATATAATTGATATTTGTGTCAAGTTCAAACTATTTGATACAATTAGTTTTCTTCATATTGAAAGCAATTTGATTTAAATAAAATAATAAAAACTAAAATGCTACATATAAATTATTGAATCTACTGAATATAAAATTATATTTTATAGAATGTTTCCAAATATTTACGATTGTTACTCGAAGAATAATTCAATGTTACAGTATTCTTGCCATAAATAATCATTTTGTATGAAATGTAACACGATGCCAATAGTGTAAAGTACTCGTTTGAAGTGTCAATTGTTCTTACCCATCGTCTAGTTTCAATTATCTAATTTCTTTTATTACTACCAGGTCATCATCTGCTAGTTATATTAGGATTTGTCAAAGACAAAAAAACAAACATCTAATAATCCTAGTTTATGAGTTTTGAATGTATTACAATTTGATAATCTATTAAACCATTTGTTTACATAATGTTTTTACACAGAATCTATTAGTTATGTTTTTATTATGATGATCATTAATGAATGCAGTAGAGGATTAGTTGATTAATAAAATAGTTTTTTAGTATAATAGAAAGTACATGTCATCATCAAAGATATTATTATTCAATTGTTTATATACTTACAAGTTAAATTTTTTTCTAGTTTCTAGGAATAGCCCTACCCGATGTAAAATACCTGGGATCTGTTATTTAAATGCTGTTTCGGAAACAAAGAAAAGTTTTCGGACAGCTTAGTTCAGATCAAAAGAATTGTTGAGATAGTTCTTATATAGAATCTGCTCTGTTCAAATAATTCTTTCACTCATTTGCACTAAACTATGAAGTGTTCGATCCTTATTAACGATGATCATTCAATATATTTATTTAATCCAAGCATTTACTCATGTATGATCAAATATCATGTAAATTATTTTTCAATGTAATAACTGTTTTGTTTGGATTAGAGAACGATGAGCACCGATACTTAAGCACGAAAGCGTAAGTACAGATACTTAAACATGCGAACTTCCAACGTCAAAAAATTAGGCATGTAAAAGAAAAACAACGTAAATTTGAAGTTTCTTGAAAAATCAGTGAACGTATAAAAGATTGAAATGAATAAGAAAGTTTTCATTCGACTTCACAGTCGATCCAACCTGGTTTTCAATTTTTCAGTTTGAAATCGATTTGCTTTCGACCTCCCAAATATATACATTAATGAGATCAAATATTAAAATTTGAATAAGTAAGTAGAATAAGTTTAACTTCCATGTACTTAGAAATTTTGATAAAACTCATTGTTTCAATTACATAACAGGACAGATTCTTCTCATCAGTCATTCAATAATGCTGCAACAGACTTCATCATATTTACCTCGATGTTTTTGACCTGCTTATCGTTCTCGTGCATAAGTATCTATTGTTAAGCTTCCATACTCATCGATTCGATTTCCGTTTTATTTAGATACACGTGAAGACAATTTCCACTTTGTTAGACCACTGCATATTACTTATCAACCAAACTAGTCGCCTTCATTTTGATGAATAAATAATTTTGTTTTTATCTCACAAGTAATTTCACATTCTAAGCAAAGAACTTCATGTTTGATGTAGTAATTGACAAAAAAAAATATTGCTTTCAAATAAACACTTTAGTACAGAGAATATTGATCATGACGTCATTTCTTTGAAATATCATAAAGTGTCAGAAGAAAACTTGATGTTTGCTTGAGAAGAAAAATATTACTAATGTTAACCATTTAAAATTCATTTGAATTACATACTTGATCGTATATGATTGATTTATTATCATTCATAATGAATATAATTATATTCTAAGACTGAATTATTTGTTTTTATTTTGTCAAAAAAAAAACATTATCTTGTCACCGAGACAACTTTTTTCTCATTACAATTAAACTCTCAACGAAATATTACTCAAAAGAAAATATATAAATGGAAAAAGTTACATAGATTTGATTATGCAAACAGTTACATGACAGAAAAGCAGGGATGAAACAATGAAAAAAAAAAACATATATCTGTGTGTAAGTTTGAAAAAGAATAATATCGATTAATTTAAACAACTTTATGTTCATCACTAGCTTTATGATTAAATTCATAATCAAGGTGAACAAATGCCTAAATTAGAAAAAAAAAGTATTTCTTTTAATTAAAAAAAAGCTAACAGAATTTGTCTTAGGTACTCGTTCAACTTCAGGAATGCTTTCGATTTTCTTCTGTAATTCTTCACCAATATTATGTGCTTCTTTGAGTGACATATCTTCTGGAAGAACAATATCTACCTAAGAAAAAAAATACAGAATAGAAAACAAATATGATCATCATCATCATCATTATATTGAATAACAAACCTCGACAAGAAAATATGTGCCAAAATGAAATGCTCGAACTGTATCAATTTTTAAAATTGACGATGAATGATGAAATGCCATCCATGTTATCTGTTGAAGAAATTCTGGTTTCGCCGTATGTCCAGTTAAATGTTTGACTTGTTCTATATAAATAGAATTACTAATCTAATTTATCCGATAATAAAATAAAACTTACGATTTGCTTGACGAATCCAAGTTATCAAAATATATATTGAAATTAAAATAGCACCAATTGAATCGGCTAATACTAAATATGCAGGAAATCGCATTGGATTTTTTCTTGACAGAAAACCTTGAGAAACAAAATGTTATTAAATTAAGTTCGTATAAAAATATATATCGTACCAAAAATACCACAAATAAGAGCAATAGAATTCGAAAAAACATCATTTCGATGATCTTGTGCTAAAACATTTAATGTTTCACTAGTTTCACGAGAACACAATATGAAGAGAATCAATTTGAGTACTAGAAATAAGTCAATATGATCTGTATAAGAGACAAATTTAAATCGAAAAAAAAGAACAGAATTACCAATAGTAGTACCCATGATAGCCACAGGTAATGTTGTCATATTAATTGGATGTACGTATTCAGAACTATTTGATGGATATTTTCGAAGCATTTTAATATCATTAACAGTTGTTTGTAATGATTCTGATATCACTTGAATACTTGCCGAACACATGATTACCGAAAGAATAACAATAGATATTGGTTCGAGACGTGTTCGGCCTAAACAGACAAGTTTGCAGAGTTATAAAAAGAATATTATCTTTTTTCTTTTTTCACCTTGTGGATACATAAAAGGATCACGTCGTTTAATGGCACGTGTGGCCCAAAAAAGAATAACACTTGATGCTAGGTCAACACCACTGTCGACAACTGATGAAATAACTGACAATGAATGTGATATAAATGCAGCGATTATTTTTACTATTAGAAGAAACTAAAATATCACAAGATATTGAGATTGTATACATTACTATTTGATTGAATATATTAGAAAATTTCCTATTGATTGAATGACTCAACCAACTTCAATTGGCTAATTAACAGGGACAGTTCTAAGGGAGATAAAAAGAATGCACTCAACTATTTATGATAAAACTTGATGTGTTCAATGTGAACATGTGTTGCATCCTAACGAATCTTTTAAGGATACTTTTCATAATTTGTTGCTGTTTCTATTGATCAAGATAAATAATCAAGTAGCTTCTATCTTGATACTTACGATATTAACTAATAATGATATATTTGTATAAAGGCTAATACGTTTTCGTTTTAATTTTGCATCATCTTTAGTCTTTTTATTGTCTATTTCATTTACGCCTTCAAATCTATCATCACTATCTGGGTTCGAATTAAGACGATGTACACGTTCCAATGTCGAAATAAGTTTGTCTTGTTTTTTGTAGAAACTCCTTCAAAAAAAAATACCAATATGATAATGATATAAATCACAAATATTCTTCCTTCTGTTCATACCGAACTTTCTTTGGTAATTTTTCATCTTCAGCTCGTTTACCACGACGTCGAGCAGTAATTTCTTCGATGGAATATTGTGAATGAACAGCTATTGAAAACAAATAAGTTAAAGAGTACAAGAAAACAGACAGCTACCAAACCTTTCTGTTTATTATCTTCACTATCCACACGTTCAACACTTTTTGGATGTGTAATTGCTAAAATTAATAAAGAAAAATATTTGTATACATATATATATGTATGTTATTTAATTCTTTTTTTTCTCAGAATCGTGTCAAACAAAACGACTAAACGTGCAATAACAAATCAAAACAAAGAATAACATAAGATAAAGGACAATCAAAGAAGCCACAATATATATATATATATATCTTATCTATGAAAAACTTACAAGATGAAGTTTGCGGGAGAAGAACGCTGGAAATAAATGTAATTATGAACAATCACCACGTTTTTCAGTGCAAAAAGCAAAAATATACTAAGAAGAAACAACTGACTCTGAATAAGTCGATCACAAAAATTGTTTCATTGAACCGATACATTCTGTTAAATGATAAAATATTCTACCATTAATAACAACATGCATCGTCAAGACAGATAGATTAGAATCGTAGTGAAAATTTTTTTTGTTTTTTTTGAATTTTCACAATGAATTCTAAGGTGATCTTTAATAATTGAGAGTCATGTATTTCATTTTTGTAAAATGAATTAATTAGTGCTATTCTATGTTTAGATATTTATTCAAAACTTACATATCCTCTGCTGGTTCGAAATTAATTTCTGCTGAAGCTAGTACGTGTCCATTTTCTATCGTCATGATAGGCTCCATTTATGTTTCTATACTTGAAAAAATGAATGAATGTGAAAGAGAAAATAACACAACAAGAGAAGAGAAGAGTAGGTTATTTGCTTTAAACAGCCAATCATTGGTTTGTTTTTTTGTACTTTGGTATTCTACGGAAGTACTTGTTCTTCGTCCATTTGCACTCATTATTCTTTCATAGTCTAGATAAGAATTTAAAAAATCAAATAAAATGCAACGTCCACCATTACCAACACCAAATCGTAATCGTGTTCGTCCACAACAAACTCCAACATCTCATCAACGTGGTCTTGTACGATTTAGTACACCAAAAGCATCACCACGTCGTTCACCAGCTCCACAAATACTTCAATCAAATAATGGTACTGTATGGGAAACATATGGTCTTGATGAAAATTCTTTAACAATACGTTTTCTCTATTCAAATTTACTTCTACTTGGTATTGAATGTTCATCGATATTTTGTCGTTATCGTACTGGACAACAACAACAACAAATATCCATGGATGAATTATCAAATTCAACTGAACTTATTCGTCTTGTAACACATTTTCTTCTTTTAACATATTTATCTGATGCACAACAAACACAATATTTACGTGATACAACACATTGTTTTCCACCAATGGCTATTGATAAGCAACAAGAATTTAATCGAATTGTTAAACAACATTTTAAATTATTAGTAAATAAATATTTTAAAATTAAACAATATAAGAAAATCTTGATTTGATTTGATTTTTTTGTCTTTGTTTTAGTCTGAAACTTATCAACAATATCCATGGCCTCAATTAATACCAGTTCCATCATGTTCACCGCGTTATTTTATTTGTCTATTTTATTTATCTCAATTATGTTTAATACATCGTTTAGAACCAACTGATGTTCAAGAACGTTTTTTAACAAATGAAAATTTTCAAAATATTGATTTAACTAAAGAACGTCTTAAACGACAAATTCGTATGATTAAAGCTGATACACAACGACATTATATGATGTTTTTTAGTAAAATAGCTAATGAAAAACGTGAACGTATTGAATATGAGAAAACAAAATATGAATTAGATGAACGAATACATAAATTAATTAATTATTTAGAAAAAATTAAACAAAAAACAGAAATTATTGATGGTAAGAACAAAAAAAGAACGTTATGAATATTCAATTTTTCTTCGAGTTACATGAATTTTGACTTGGACTCAAATTCTCCTAAAAACTCGGAATTTGATAAAAAGTTATTGCATTCCTTAATGCTTAGGAAGATGAAACTATTACTTATATGGAATTAATACTAATGTAATAAGCGGAGTACTCAAAAAACAAACTTCGAAGTGATGTTTTTCTGATTCAATTTTTACTAATCAATTCTTCTTCATAAGTATTGCCAATTTTTCGACCTTTTCATTGGATATCAATTTCAAGTGTTATATCAGCATGTTAAGCACTTTGCTCTGCATGGATGCGACTTTTCGAAATCTTTCTTGAACCCAAGATAATCGACATCTATTAGATACATTCACAATCACAGTACAGTTTTCAAAATTTTATTTTGTATGAAAAAGTATTCAATTTAGTTTCTCCTATATACAGCTACAAAAAAAAAAGGAGTTCATATCAAATTCTACATATAAGTTAGAGATTCAGAATGCGCTTGGTGTCTTTCTGCTTCTAAAGTCGATCATTTTCGCTAAGTATACTTTGACTTATTGTTGATCACACTGGAACAGAATGCAATGTTGGTATCAAACGTCATAATTGTAGATACATATATGAATACTTTTTCCATCACAATAATACATTTTCACCCCCTTTGACAATTCATTTTTCTCTCTATGTATTCAGTTGTCTCGTTATATGGTTCATCATCATTTTGTAGATAAATTTTCATTCAATTTGAATTCTTTTAGTACAATAAATTAATTATTGCAGAATCGAATTTATGTATGAAATAATATTGGGGATCTGAACTAACATTTTTTCATGCTGAAATCCGATCTGGTTGAAGGACGCTACTAAGCACTATGTTTTAATGAAACTACATGACGATAAGCATTACGGAGTGTTCATAGAAATAAGACTTTTTATGAAGATTAATTAGAAGACTATGGGCTCGGTCCTAAATTTTCATGTCTCCATCTTTTTGCATTTTATTTCATTTTACTTTTGTTTTTCTTAGGATCATTTGATCAATCACAAATTATTGATGAAAATCAATTTGAAATATTTTCAAACTTAGTTCGAGATCTTCATAGAAGAATTAATTCAGATATTTATAATAAATTAGAATGGTTTACTAAACATAATTTATCAACATCATTACCATCAATGGGTGTTGATATTGGTTTATTACCAAATATATGTCAACAAGTACATGCTATTGTTAATAAACAAGAAAATAGTAAATTATTTTATATCTAAAGAAATCAATTTATTATAAAATTCAAATCTTTTAGTTTCAAATCGAATAAGTCAATTATATCCAAGATTTAGTGAAAAACCATCATCATCTTCATCGACATCTACAACAGTTACTCTTAATGATGTCATACAAGCAGCTAATATTTGTCTTGAAAAACGTCTTACATCTCATTCAGTGTCAGATGAAAATTTTGCTAAACTTAAATTAGCACTTGAACAAATGAATACAACCATTGAACGTACTGAACAAGTACATAAAACACTTGATCATTTAAAACATTTACCTAAACATATTAGTCGTTATGATAATGATCAACAAATGCAAAAAACACCATTTGATCATATTGTAACAAAATTTTATTCATCGATTGATTGTGGACAACAAGCAAGAGAAATATTTCGTGATCAGATGAGTAAACAAACTCCAAATTCATTTGTTACTTGTTGTAATACAATTGCAACAATAAGTGGTGATGATTCAAATAGTGATTTTATGAATGATGATACAACTATAATACGCTGTCAATTATCAGCACCATTACCACCAGTACCAGAGACAGAAGTACCAATGACTGATGAAGGAATGTTAAAAGGACTTGAATGTCTTTTACTTAGTGAACCAATGCCGATTTCAATAACAACACATGATGATGAATCATTTCTTACACTTGAACAAGAATGTAAAATCGATTCAGAAATATTCATTGATCGTCCTCGACGAAAAACAATTGTAGAAACAAATGTAGCTGCAGTGATTATGGATGATAAAATGGAAGATGATTATTCACAAAAAGAAAATATTACACCTCAACAACAACAACAACAACAGCAAATGAATGAAATTCATATAGATAAACTTGATAATGATATTCATTTTATTTCACCTATTATGTCTGTACCTATTGGACAGTAAGTATATTTGTCTTTTATTGTTGCATTCTAAGAGTTTTTTTAAATTATATTTAGACAACAACCAGTCATGCCTAAACTACTCGAACAAATCGATACAATTGATCCTTATTAAAATTCTGTTTAAAACGGTCGATATATTTATATTTATATAGTTCTTCTCATTTATCTTGTCAGATCATAACAAACAAACAAAAAACGTTTCTATTTATCTCTAGTCAGAACTATGCAATATTTCACTGATGATAGAATTTTGTACGTCCGATAACATTAATGATTTATCTTCTTTCTTCTGATACATATATATGTGTGAACTTTTCTTTTTTTTTGTTCTACAATCATAAATAAATAAATGTTACTTTTGATAATTTCTCAAAAACAAAAAATGTATTTTAAGAGGATAGTGACATAGCGAAAATTTTTGTGTTGTTGTTTTAATCTCTGCTTTGACAAAAAAAAACCATGACGAATCTCTATTGATAGTCATATACGAATTTTCAAAGTGAAGTTTGTATGAAGTATAAATTATTATATTGCTTCCAATGAAATTCTTCATAAATGAAGGTGAATATTTTATTGAAATGATATTAAAGTGGTCGAACTTACGAAAGTAGGGTAAACATTGCAATTTGTCAAGAAACAATATTGATATAGAGTACACGTGAAAGGTGAAGCTGACATTTTTAGAATATATAGGTCATCGCTTATATTTCAGGTGTGTTCGAATAATGTTGATGAAGAAAAGTCCTCACACTCACACACACACCCTCTCTTAGCTTCACCCATCACAGACATTAATAAAATAATTATTATCCAAAACGACATATAAAATTTATGGCTATGACATAGACGAAGATGATCTATCCATGTAGTTGATAGGAACTTTTTAAAATCCTTATCTGATTAACCGTCAAATTGGCAAAAGCCTAGCGTGTGTCAGCGAAAGTATAGTGTACTTTCGCCGATTGGTAAGAGTCCTATTGATGAAATCTCGAAACTCCGTAAATTGGTTGATTAACAGATGTTTTTGATTCGTCATTATTTTGTGGTTGTACAACAAACATTTAATGTTACCAATGATATAGATAATAAACCAAAAAATTATTATTATGAGCAATATTACTCAGACAACATACTGAAACAAGCAAACATTTTTAATTTATCTTTCAACAGTTTAAATCGACGTATAAAACGAGATTTATTACATTTGATTAATTTTTAGTAATGCATATTAGTCAACTTTGTATTTCTTCACTTTCAAAAGTTGACGACGAACAATAACTATTTGACTCAACAGATAAATATATACAATTGAATTTGTATAACATAAATTATATTTACAATAAGCCACTCGTATATCCAGATTCATATTTAATTGACCATAAGCTTCTCGTTTTCGAGAAAACAATAGACATATTTCCTTAAAAAAAGTTGGT